GGTCATACAGTAAAACACAATTGTTTAATTCTTTGTGATTGATAATTTTACTATAGAGATGTGAGATTTACTCAAAGTCACTGATAACATTTTAGAACCACATTGAACTAAAACTAGCCCTGTACTGTATGTGAAATCAAAATGAGTATTACTGTACATGGTGTAAGTCCCTAAAGCAATTATTCTGTAAATTACATTTGAACTGATGTAAGGGCAGTTGGGAAATACCCCCTTTGAGATAAATGAGTGAACAACTGAAACACACCCACAAAGACAAAGAAAAAGCAGTTTGTTGCTAACCATCTGATCCTGATTATGTTTGTTCAGCACTGTCAGAGGTGCTGAGATCATCTCTTGCTTTCATTAACATGTGCTACACTTTATTGCTGCACGGAATATGTTGGTAGTACCTAACAGTTTTTCTTTAAAGCAAGATGAGACAACTGTCTGCCCTTATTTTATCTGGGTCTTTCCAGTGATGCAGCTGATCTCACAGTTTTCCTTGACTGTTCTATTAATGTATACAAGTTTAAACAAGTTTACAAGCCCACGTTCAAATCCTAGCAACCTGACTGGCATAACATGATTTAACATACCCCCCTTCTCAACTGTTATCTTTCTATGTACTTGTTTGTTTTACAGATACAATCATAAAGGTCTAACTTGTAAATAGTGATTGTAAGAAGTACTTGTAGGGAGATTTTGTTAGCTCTGGACCAAAGCAGGTTAGCTTTGTTTCAAGTCTTTATGCTAAGCTAACTGCCTGCTGTGTTTACCTAACAGAAATGACAGTTATACATATATTCTCATTTTACTCTTTCAGGAAAAATAACCTAAGTGTATCTTTTAGAATGTTAAACCAAAGCTGTCATATTTGGAAATCATAACCACTCTCTTTTATTTATTCCATCATAGATATGCAGTGTCATTTATGACAGAAACTCCTCACAAATATTTCATAAAATGAAATAGTTATATGTGTGTCACTGCAATCCTTTATGTGCTGTAGCCGTCAGTCAGATGACTGTCAAGATTAAAGTTTTATCTCGACAAACTTGAAAAACACATTCTGATTGCTGAACTCGTGCTGAAGTGTGTGGAAGGCCTATCCCTAATGTCTGTCTGTCTATCTCTCTTACTCACTCTCTTTCATTTGTAAACAAAACAACGTGATTGTGAAACCGGATTCACCTGGAATACCTGGAGCATAACATTTACGGGACTTTTAGGCTTAGTGGTTACATTAATGTAAGTATTGTCATGCAAATATTCTTATTATCTAAAGATATTATATACCTAAGTATAGTACTTGTCTGGTATTATGAGTGCCATCTGCTAGTCTTATTCTATATAATACAACTAGTGAAGTAGAAGTGATAGAGGGTTTTCTTGGTCAGTGCACTTGCCACTCTGTGTGACCTCGTTCCCATTTGTGTGTGTGTGTCTGTCTGTGTTTTTAGCCCAAGGCTGAGATTTAGCCTGAGAGCCCTTTGATTTCCCGGCCGGGGTCGCAGTTCAGCCGATAACAAGGGTTACTTTGATCTCCGTTTTGTGGGTGTTTGTTGTTGTTTTGAGGCTTTAACAAGTAAGATTGAATAAATATCTTTTATTATTAGCAGTTATTTACTCTGTATACATTAATGTCATCTTTTTGGATGATCACATAACTGGTCTGTTATGGTTGTGGTGATAAATGTGATCTGTCATCTTTTTTTAAACAGCCATGTATTAAGTATAACGATTATATAAACGTCTGTAGCACATCCACAGCAAACCTTAAAGTCCACATGCTTCCACTTTAAGTTACCAGAGTGTGGAAACGCTATCCTGTTGCTAATTTCAGAGTGATTTTAATTTAGCTTGATGGCAAACACAGCTGCTGATCATGCCCCTGGGCGCATGGCTTCAGGATTTAAAGCTACAGTATGAAACTTCTCGTCGGGAGTTGACAAACGGTTAGTAGTCCTGCCCTCCTGACCCATAATTGGACAGGTTCATGCCCGAACATGTCATGTGTCAGTTTGTTTCCTCAAATGACATCAGCTGACGTGACAGCTAACACCTGTCCAGCGGCATTACATTAGCTGAAGCAGCAGATGGTTTCACAGATGGCTCCGAAATAAAAACATCCATGTTTTTAATTACGTCCTGTCAGCATATTTAGTTGTACTTGAGTTATAATTTCATTTCTCATTGCTCCTCCCTAATGTAGTTGTTGTTACTTGCATGGGTTACAATTGCTAATCTCTCTTTCATACTACACACAAGCAGGCAGGTTGGTGCCTATCACAAATTTAGGATATAGAATAAAGAGATGTACACACAGCACACAAGGTGGAATATTATTATACTATAGTTTTTTTTAGATATTAAAATCCATATGTTAGGTTTTCATATCCAGCAGATATAAACACAGGGACTAGGATATATTTTACTCTTTTCATATCTCACATATTCTTTCTTGCCAACCTTGTATACATCTGGTTTGACCGGTTAGTCGACAGTGACACATCAGCTGAGATTCTTTCTGTTATGGATCTGTGTGGGCTCTCACCACAGTGAAGAACAGAGTACTCAATAAGTGTAATACACAGCAATGTAATGTAAAGAAGAAGTCATCTGAAATGATTGTTGATAACTAGCTGATGAACCCATGGCCTTCTGAAAAGCTTAGATAAAAAGATGAGCTAAGCTGCAGTGCAGACTTTTTCCTCCAAAATCAGAGGTGAAGATTTTCATATTTTATCTAAGGTGTTGTGAGAAACTATAATGACCATATCGGTGGGTCAAATTCTTCAGATATCTACTTTTAGATCTGCAGTGTAGCTTCAGACAAGCTGCTCCCACAAGTTTCTGTTTCAGTAAGAATAATAATAATAATAATTGCATTGGGAAATGTTTTCAGATTATTACATTTTAATTGGTAAGAATGAATTTGAATACAAATGTTTTCGCAACCTATTTTCCCATCAAGTCGTTTTTTGTCATGCAAAATAAGGTATTTTTTATCAGCTCCATTACATGTATTAATAAAGCCCACTTTGTGTAGCCAACAGCTCTACTCCAAAATCATTTTTTTACTAGACGTTAATAAGGTTCTGGGAAATGCTGAATCTTTTCCCGTCTCCTATTACTTCTTTAGTGTTCCACAGAAATACCAGTAAAAGAAAAATGATACCTAGTGATCAATTCAGGTTTGTTTTGTTTATAACTTATAAGTCCTGCCAGTAGTGTAGCGCCAGATTCAGTCGTAGAAAATGAGCTAAACTCAAAACAGTCGCATCTCTAAATCTCATCAGTGTTTTAGCTATAAAACCAGTGCCTCTCCTAAAGGCTACAGCTCAGCTGCAAGAGCTTCAGAGGAAGTGGTATGTTGTAATGTGACTGTGAGCTCATGAATGGAGCACTTGTCTGTTTCATCCCTTTGGGTGAGGTTCTGTCTGTGTGAATGTAGCACTGAACCTTGAAGAGAGGCAGCAGACATTCAACACAGACACCTTAAAATATGTGTGGGGGTGGAGCACAAGAGTACTTTGACTGCATGATTTACCAGGGATCAATGAGTTTGTATTTGTCTTTCTCTCCCTCACATAATTGTAGCTGGTCCGTCCTCTCTGGGTCGGCCCTGCATTCCTACGATGGCCCACTATTTTTGTGGGCTGTGGTCGCTCTAATTATGAGGTTTCAGGCACTAGTTTTTTTGGATTTATACATCCCTGGCCACGGTTTATATACACACAGAACCACACAATTAGTATGCATGCATGTTGTGGGTGGTTTTGTGAGTGTGTCAATTATGGATGTATTTCATGCAAGCAGAACAATTAATCTCTACCCAGTTCAGATGTGTATACGTTCAATAGATTCATTTTCCTCTTCTTAGATATTGGCTAAAAGACTCAGTTTGATTAACCAGCTACTACAAACGGGCTGCTCAGTTTCATAGGCATCATTCCTTTTTCTCTTTTCCAAGAGTCTTGTATTTCCAATACTTCTGGACAATACCAAAATAAACATCAGTTTGTGAGAATTGTAGTCAAAGACCTTGACAACAAGTGTTGATGGCGTTGAAGGAGGAGGGACGTTTAGGGCAGTATAAATGTTTAATTGTATAAAGTTTGTACTTGTTTTGTAGAATTGCAAACTCAAAACATATTGGTGTATACACCACTAATAACATTTTATGCAGTTATTGACAGTAGATGGTAGAGAGATAACAGGAAGCAATGGGAGAGAGAGAGGATGGGGAGTGACATGCCACAACATTTCCCGGTCAAATATTAGTCTATGACAAAGGTTCAATATTCTTAATTATTATTGTCAGCCACCGGGTTCGACCTGTTTTGAAGTAATTTAATCTTGACATCACATTATCTATCACATCATGGAGAGCTGTCATTTTGATATATCTGATGGATTGCATCAATCAAATAAAGGTTCTTCCTATTATCCAGAAAATGTAAATCTGTGATGATAGGTTAATGTGGGATATTGGGCTATTTCTCCAAAACACAACACTACTTCATAATTAAATGTAACCTCTGAGAGGTCATAGTCCAGACAAACTCATTGTAGGGAGTACCAAGCACATAACACCTCCTCCAAATCATATTTCATCTCAGGAAATGGGGCTGAATGTACTGTTTATACTTTTGTTCTTATTGCCCCAAATAGATGGTAGTTTTTGTTATTTCAGTTGTTTCCGTCACAATGGCTCACACTCTGTGCGGTGATTCTGTTGAATAGTTATAGATAAGAAAGCTGATGTGATGAAAGAAGATAAATGAGAAAAAAAATGTGATCTTCTAAAAGTGGTAAAACAAAATCGTGTGTTTTTTTCTTTTTTTCGTGTTTCCTCTTGTACTCAGTCTTGAACCTTTTTTCTCTGTCTTGAAAGAGAGTTCAAACATTTAGTGTGAATTTATCATACAATGGAAATCATTTGTGAATATTGATTTACCCGTGCTCTATCTTTTTCCGTCTGTCTTTTTTTCTCTCAGGGCCTACAAGTGGATAACTATGTCAGAGATACAGAACCAACCAGGTCTAGTGCACAAAGGCACACACATGGCCCCGTGAGCTGCGACTGTGAACCGCGCTATCAAGGAAAATCCTCGATCCCCCAGGGTTACCTCCGAGGGTTCTCTATCTGCCGGTTTGTACAGCTGCCCAAGCTTCTGTTTCTACCGAAAACACACACAAAGCAAACTCTGTACGGACAGGGTCTTAGTCACTCAGGAAATCAATGCGAGCTGAAGTTATCATGCCACAGCCAGCAGGCCTTTGACCATGATAACACACTTAAATCGTAAAAGAACAGAAGCAGAAGAAGCTTGTTGAGTAGCATGACCTGAAGTGGATATCTCTCATTAGCTTAGTAAGTATTTGGGACAGAACTAGAAGATAGTGGTAATATGTAATCAATCATTTTGTGAAGCCGCAGCAGAGAAATGTGCTTTAACCAGTTAAGCCCCGAGCCTCTGTTTCGAAAATGACATTCCCAGAACAATTGACTATAACTTCACTTCTAAAAGGGGTAAATGAATAATCTTTTTTCTCAAAGCAATGATAAACCTGTGAGTTGGATGTAGAAAAGTCAGAATCAATATAGAATTTTTTTATTTTAAAGTCAATTCAGATTGAACATAGTATCCCTGTATCAAGATTGATGCAAAAATAAGTGACATTTGACCTTTTTAGAGAGATTTAGAAAAGAAAACCCACTTCTGGGGTCATTTGGGTGCATTTTCCATATGTCTGGCCCCCCTCGGTCGATTTTCGATGATTGACACCTCTTTTGAACCGTTAGAGCCAATAGAATCGAGGGGAAGTTCTTAAAATCCATCTAAACATTACCCATTGGTGAATGAGTGATGCGTAGCCAGAATGCCCAAAACCGGAAGCTGGTAGCAGCTAATATGAAATCTCCGTTATTGACATAAAAATGTAATGATGGATTATCAGTAATCATTTCAAAGTGACAGACACATTGGATTAACCTATGGATTAACCTTCAGCAGCGTTTTTATTGTTTTAATGCCATTGAACACAACTTTTGAGCCCGGTACCGGGGGCATGGGGCTTAACTGGTTAATGCCCCCGAGATTAAACACTGTTGACATTTTTGAATAGTGAGCCAACTCTCCATTCAGGGAAAACTCACTATCATTAGTCATCTAGACCCTTTGAGTTATAAACGTGCCATCTTTCACAATGTATGGGTTTTGAAGTCTGCAAATTAAATTTCCTCTACAAATGTAATTTCCTCTTGCTGCTGTAAAGACCCACTAATTGAGATGTAAGACGTTGCTTCCCAAATGTTTCAATTAAGAAAGTCTGAGAGAAATGTATTGGTTGTGATTGTTAATGCTATAATGTTAGATTCCTCTTGCTCAACTGCAATTAACAGCAACGTGTTACTTATTTCCAGAGCTGCAGCAAAACAAAGAATAAGGTAGGACTCTGCAGGGAGACGCGATGGCTACCGAAGAAAATCAAGCCCAGCTTGGGTCTGTAGTCCTGGCTCAGCGTGCTTCACCTCCATCCTCTGGCAGCAGACCGAACAGAGAAACCAGACATGACAGTCAGGAAGTATGGCGATACTCTGACCAATCGTGGAATTCAAAACAGCGAAGCAGCCCTTCCCTCCTCTTTTATCGGAAGTTGTCGTGTGACAGTGAGAAAGGGCCAATTTTGGACAAGGAATACGACTGTCTGGACTACAGCTCAAAACTCCAGCCGTCAGCTGGCAAGAGAATTGAAGGAGTAACTAACACGGTTCCTCCGATACCTGGGAACAGTTCAGAGGGATCTCCGTGCCAGCTGGACACCTCTGGAGAGGGTGTGGATGCGGCAGGAACAGAACTGGCAGAACGGGCTCCTGCCCCCTGTCTAGCCTCCACACAGGTCCAAAACATCTATTGTTGCCACAGCCCCAGATCCAGTCCTAACCCCAGCTCCAGCCCCGTTCAGAGCCCTCGCCTCTGCCACAGCCCCTCGCAGCACCACCGGAGACACGTCCGCCGCAGCAGCCTGCCGGTGTCTATGCTGGCATTCAACAAGGTAATAATGAAGGCAGCCGCTAGTCCTGGTAAACTGCAAATTGTATGTATACACTTAGCTGCTGCAATAAGACTGTTATGTGTCATATTTGCTTGGACTGTACAATATTGCAAAACGTTTTACATTGCCCAATTTTTGGGAATATATATATAATAATCTACATTTTAATTAATTCTTTTACTTTTTATTTTTTCACAGACATAACATAAATAGGACATACATGGAGATGCTTACATAACTGCACCTGTTGTACATCAGGGTTAATCATTCATGCCCTCCTTGGACACCAAAAGGACATACAATTCTTGATGCTATCGATTTTCATATTGTGCAAACATTATCAACATATTACAGACATTATCACTCCCACTCATCAACAAAATGATCGCACAATACCCGAGTAATCTACATTTTTAAGGATGCATTTTAAAGTTTTTAATACTGAAATCTAGTGCACTTTGAGAATCGTGCTGGTTTTGCTTTTCTATCAAGCATAAAAAAGGCTTAGTTATTTTGACAAACATCGCATGTCCTGCTTTGTGATCGCAATGTTTCGCAGAGATTTTTAAATGTTTTGACTTATCACAATGTAAATGTGTTAATTTAATGATTTACCTCATTAGATAGACCATTCAAGCTAATGCTAATTTAGCTTAACTAAAAAAATATCAATTAATTTACCATGTTTCTGCTTCCAGATGTCACCCTACCTCTCAACCCGGTGCACTCCCTCCAGTGAACCCAGCTCTTTAGCGTCCTCACCTTGTAATTCCCCCCTCCCCAAACACTGGCAGCATCATCAGAATGGACATACCCACCAGCACCGGCTCAAAGATGGCTACTCCAGTCTAGAGAGGCTCAACAGAAAGCCCAGGGTGGACAAATACTCCCTGGAGAAACTATTTCTAAGACGAGCATCTCTAGAAACTAAGAGGACGACCTTGAGGAACGACGAGAGGTCACCCTCAGGAGTGACCAGAGACTGCAGCGGGGGCAGCAGCAGCAGCAGTGAGGAGGAGGAGGAGGAGGAGGATGAAGAGGGTCTTTTGGATAACTCGGAGTTTATCAGGAACCGTAAAGAGCGTTCCACTCTCCTAGTGAGGCGCTTCTGCAAGAATAATATAAAGGTATTTACACACAACATTCTTTTTTCTATAGACTTGATACCTTGTCTCCCCCTTGACAAAGGTTTGAGGCATTTTGAAATACTTTACTGTCCATATACTAATAATACAACATAAAACTATTCTTTCCATAAGGTGACCAAGTCAGTGTGTACTGGAACCAGAGCCATCGTCAGGACGCTTCCATCAGGACGCATCTCAGAGGAGGTCTGGGACGTGGTTTTTACTCACCGGATATGGAAACCCAGCAAGAAGGATTTGTGGCCAATCTTAACTCGTGGTATGGAAGAAGAGTTCAGAGTCTGCAGGGAGATACTACGTTTTGTTGGAGTTAAGCTACAACAGGTAAGAAAATGAAAAACACATTTTGTAAGATGTTTTTAATACAGATGTATAATAGAGTGAGGCAGGAATGAGTCCTGAACCCAGGAATTAGTTTTCGCATCTTCTGGGTTCCCTTAAGTCTCAAAGTCAGTGATTAATGAGTTTTTTGGTTAGAGGCCTGACATAAGGTCTGTGATTAATATATATATATTGGCAAGAAAATATACAAGAGATTGTACAGTGCAATCAGAGAGATACAGTATGTCCACGTTTTTGATCAAGTCCACGAATCCAGTCTTTGTCAAGTCTGTCACCACCTTCGCGCAGCTGCTGGCGCCACTTCGTCCGGTCCTCCGCCAGCCTCTCCCTGTTGTCCGTCGCAATGTCCAGGGCCTTTATGTCACGCTTTACGACATCCTTGAAGCGCAGCAGTGGTCGTCCTCTGCCTCTGGAACCATCGCTCAGCTCGCTGTATAAGATGTCCTTTGGCAGGCGGCCATCTGGCATTCTGCGAAGGTGACCGAGCCACCGAAGCCTCCTGACCTTCAGTGTTTGGAACATTGACTTGCTGCCCGTGCGCGCCAGCACCGCCTCGTTCGTGACCTTGTCCCGCCATGTGATCCCGAGAATGTTGCGCAGGCACCGCATGTGGAAAGCATTTAGCTCTCTTTCGTGCCGCGCGTAAGTTGACCACGCCTCGGAACCATACAGCAGGACGCTGACCACGCAACATTGGTAGATACGTGTCTTAGTGCGCTCGGTGAGGTATTTGTTGCTACAGGCTCTTGAGCGCAAACGACTGAAAGACGTTGCGGCTTTGCCGATACCAGTCTGGATCTCCTTAACTAACGACAGGTCACTGCTGATTGTTGAACCAAGATATGTGAACTGGTCAACGGTCTCCAGCACATGCTCGTTCACCATTACCGGTGACGCTGCGCTTCCTGCTTGGTGCATAACAACTGTCTTTTTGATGTTGATGATCAGTGCAAATTCAGAGCATGCTGCACTGAATCTGTCCATCATGCGATGTAGACCAGCTGCGCTGTGAGACACCAGAGCTGCGTCGTCCGTGAATAAGCAAGACGCCTGCCAGGCTGTCGTAGAACTGGTCCTTGACCGCAGCTTCACTCGGCAGTGTGGGGGCGTAGGCACCAGAGTTCCCGTTAGCCGGTAATTACCGGACTATGACCGGTAAAATATGCTGAAGACCGGCAAATCTAAATCTCTCTGGTCAAAATAATTTCCCTTTAGCACAATACCGCATCAGTTGCGCCACTTATGTGACAGACAAGAATAGTATGTGACAGACAAGAATAGTCAATTCTAATGTCTAACATTTAATGTGGAGAAAGAGTGTCCTGTATGGGTTGATTGTGCGTTGATCTGTTGGTAATGCCTCGGGGTTCCGGTGGGCATGTAAACAAATGCATAATGCTGCGCTATACTTTGCGGCCTCACCCGGTTGCATAGCAACGCTTATTGTTTAGGTGTCTTTTAATAAGCAGGTAGTCATATCATTAGCTAGAACTAGCTAGATCTGATCGATATGGACATAAACGCGAGTGAAGTCTAATCTGACGGGAGAGAGAGATCAGCTGCTGCTGACGAGTCGACACCCAGCTCTGCATGATCATCTGCAGCGGTGAGCAGAGCAAAACACACACTTCAGGTTAGAATATCACGTAGCTATTTTAATTACCTCTCAAACTACCTAAACTAGTTATAGATATGTTTAGTTTTACTGTCGGGTCAATCATTACTGGATCCGCGAGCTGCATGATACTGACGGGCTGTCAGGAGAGGGAGAGAGAGCGCTCCGTTTATTATTCCCGTGTTATAAGTTACTGTACACTTTTGCATAATGTAGTTAATCTACTAGAATTAGTTTGTTTAATATCAAATCATATCAATTTGTTTAAAAGCTCAATAAATAAGAAGACCTTTGACCGGCACTTTTCTCATTTTGTCCGGAAGATTTAAACTTTAACGGACATGTTGACCGGCAAAAAAATATTCTAACGGGAACTCTGGTAGGCACATATCAGATGTATTGGGCTGGCAGATTGCTAGAGCGTCAGGGAAATGATCCTGTCTGACACACCGACAGGAGTGTCAAACTCTTGCACCAGCTTGTTGGACACTGCAAAGCCTACGCCGTGTGTGCGGTGTTCATCTTTGGCTTTTCCCATCCAGAAGAAAGTGTAGTTTTTTGCTCTTTGATAGAACCAGACTTGGCTAGTCTGGTTTCCTGTAGCGTGGCGACGTCGACTGCAAGCTTGGCCAGCTCCCGGTCGATCAGTGCTGTTTTGCGTGTTGCGCCTTGTCTTTGTACGTTGCAGTCTGGATCCGCAGTGAATCTCGGACACATGGTACAAACATTCCAGCTTCCCAGCCGGAGATGTACATTTAAATTAAAATTTGAATTCCGCTCTTTATTACGGTTTAGAGTTTTTCTTTGATTGGTAGGTGAGATTTTAACGTCCATGCTTGCTGCGACCACCCCATCGAAGCAATAGACGTGGCAGGTCAGAACCGACCAGGGGCTGCCTGGCTTGAGGCGGGCAGTAGATGACCATTGGGGCACGATGACCCCTCCCACCGACGCAGAGGACCCGTGGCGCTCCGTCTTACGCCAATCTGACTGGAGCTTATAACCCGTAGACTGTTGCTCTGCCGTGTTGTTTCCCCAGCGCCTTTACGACGCCGCGATGAAGTGTCCTCTCCATTGCACTTGCTCGGGCGGGAATGAGGGCTCCAGCGTTACCCAAGCTGCAGGAACCACACTTGGCCTCCACTGGCAGGACTCCAAGGAAAGACAGAGGTCAATACGTTGGCGCCAGCATTGGATGCAGGAGATGGCCGTTGGCTCACTAATTCTCATTCTGTGATTAATACAAGCCCAAAATATGTCAGTAAATACCCCATTGGTGAATATCTTTAAAAAAGAAGGTTGCTAACAAGTGACTAAATAAGACTACTAAACGTAATGGCGCATAACACGGGTCTGCCTTTAAGTTGCGGTGGTGACGGGAACTCATGCGACCATAATGTGATGTACTACTATAAAAGTGGTTTTAATATGTGAGAATGATATTGCTGTACAAAAATTGTAAGTATCAGTTTGCCACAGTGCTTATTTGTTTTGCAATATTCCAAAATGCAAAGGGAAATTCCCATTGTTTTTGTCGATGGAGCCCCTGAAATGCTAACTTGCTGTTCACTGTACAACAATAAGTCATCACTACACCACTCTATAGAAGCATTCCATATTTCAAGGACTCTAAACAAGCTGTAAAAGTGTTCACAAAGGTAGATTAAGGACATCAATGCAGTGAAGTTCAGGCACTGGGTGGTTTATATTTCACACCCAGGCTACTGTTAACTCGCTCCATTAAAAACGAGAAACAATACTGTTGCAAAACAATATATATAAATGATGCGTGTGTTTATCAGCACAATTAAACATGGTTTTCCACAATCACCCTAATCCAAGGGTTATTAAGGTTGCCTTTTTAAGAGTTTAGGAAATATGTTGGAGTGGGAGTCATTCAATCATGACTGTTTCTCCTCCAGCTATAATGTGCTTTTTCTTTAAGTGCTTTAAATGATGTGAATTTTCCACTGATGATAAGGCTTTGGGTTTTAAAATGTGGTTTGCTGTTCAAGCTCTCTTTTCTCTGCCACAAGTAAAGTGCAGTACTTCTCTGTAGTGGCACAGAGTATTTATGACAAGATTGATTCCTTCTCCAATGAAAGATGATTGTTGTTGGCTTTCTCTTTTCACTATTTGGGTTGAAACGTTATGCCTGTTATGCATGAGGGATGAATCATTTGTTCAAGGGATATGTTAATAGACCAACACACACATCCTGAAAAAATGCATACACACAGGCTCTTTGTTCGGAGAAGGCCCCTGCTGCGGAAAAATGATTTATTCTCTGTTAGTTCTGCTCCCTATATTACTGACAGGCTGAATGACTGAGCCTTCTGTGTGTGTGAGTGTGTTTAAATGGACTGAGCAGAGTTGGCATCTGCATTAAAGTTATGGCCTTGGAAATTGGAGAGAAGGCAAGACAGAGTGAGGGAGGAAAAGAGAGCGAGTGAGACGGAGAGGAGACCCAGGTCATTGCTCTATTATGATTGTTACAAACATGAAAACCTCTCGCAGGAGCTGTTCAGCTTCACCTTGGCAGCCACAATTCAAAGAAAATACAGCTATTTCTTATTTGTCTTGAGTCAGGCTTTTCAACCTGAGAGGTGCAAACATCATGATATTCTATAAAGACTTGGAATCAGCAGCGTCACACAGGAAACTCTCCTGTTGTTTTTTGGTTATCTTCTCCCTCCTCTTCCTGTAAGCACTCTAAAAAACACGAGACTGAACCCTGCCTTGATGCATTCGAAACAGAATCACATAAGCGCAAAATGTATTATATTGTTATGCCAAGTAGCCTATTTAATTTATTTTGAACTTTTGTGTAACCATTGCCGCATTGCGGTAGTTTAAATTCCACTCCAACAGAAACATTTAGTTTTTACGCTGGCACTTGACTGTGCATAATGTTCCACTTTTGTATGATGGTTTTCTGACATGTGTATGCATGTGGGTGCATAAATGCATGGATATGCAATTGTGTTTTTTATGGGTTCATGCATAGCCACAACAGAGCCGAGCATTGTCTAAAGTTTCTGGTGTGCGGACGGGGGCTTGTACACTCAAGCCATACAAACACACACTCACACTCATGCTCATGCATCCAGTGTAATTTCTGACTCCGCCAAAGTGTTTTTATGAGTCCTTTGTGGTCGTAGAAATACGGGCCAAGTTAAGTCCAGGCAGAGCTGCTTTAATAATGAGCCTATTGAAAATGGGGGAGTTGCCAGCACTTCCCTTGTCAAAACACCATCTGAGCTACTCCTGTTAGGGGTCACCAGAGAAAACTCTGAGAACACTGAGGGCAGTGAATAAGGAGAGTTGTAGCCGAGCTGTCATCAAGATCGTAAAATGTATGATAAAG